ACAGGCTGACACTCCATCTACTGAGCCAAACCGGTTTCGGATGATTCTTGTGGTTCTTATTCGGATTGCAATATGCCCTTCAGTGATAACCATGGGAGCGCAGGCCTGAGGTTCTGCTTTTATTGGGGAAGAGGGTGGGGGACTAGAATGCTAGGACTCACTCTTCACTGGTTAATTTAAAACATAAGAGTGGAAATTTAAAGTGCAGAAAGAGAAAAAGACAAGTAGCCCGGATGTCCATTTATCAAAATCAACCAAGACCTGAGACAAAGAAGCCTCCTTGGGCTCGGGAGGCCTGGCTCTCAGTGTAGGTGTGTGGCTGGCCCTGTGTTTATTGCAGAGAGCCTTTCTTTCTTGAAGTGGGTGCTGCCTTTGAAAGGGATTCCTCTCTGAAGTACATGCCTTGGCAATCACATCTTAAACCAGGCCCTTGTATTACAAAAAGAAAAGGCAATTGGCAAGGGTTTGTACTGCAATCACTGACTCCTTTGTGATGCTGCTGGCACAGACAAACCCCTACTTACTGTGCTGTCAGTCCCATAAAGCTATAGCATATTCATTGTAATAGGAGGCTATACCATCTAGGTTTGTGTAAGTGCACTCCCTGACAGAATGTACCCCAATCATGAAGCAGGGCATGACAGTATTGTTATTTAATACATGAAGTAAGGATAAATTTAGCAAATATTCCACTTATTTATAAATCTAAGGCAAGGGTATACCAGTTTCTTCAGCCAGTTGTTATGGACTCACTGCTCCCTCATATTTTGCTATCCTGCTCTTCCATGTTTTTTCTGGCAGTGATTCATGATTAGCTCATTAAATGAGAGCATTTTAGTATTTGTAGATTGACTCAGGTCCTTCTCAGATCATCTTCAACAAATAAGCACCAGGCTCATGGAAAACAATTTTTAGACTTACATGATCTATATTGACCAGTTCAATTGATCAAATTAGTCATTTTTTAAATGTTCTACAAAGAGCTATTTTAATACACTCTTCAAAGAAAATATATATTGGTCACCATGTCAAGTTCTAAGTATAAGGTGGTGAATAAGACATAGACCCCATCTTCATAAAATTTCCAGATAATTAAAGAAGATTGATGTTATACAATCCATGTATGACCGATGGAGTCAGGGTTACCAGATGGGAAGCTCAGTGTTCAAAAGGGAATGAAGAAATGGGTGTGATATCCAGCTGGGAGTCAAGGGTGGACTTAGGAAGACCTCATTGAAAAATAGGATTTCCCCTGCAAAGGCACATAGCTACTTCACTTCTTTCAGCTTTTAGGAGATCAAGGGAGGAAGAAAAAGAAAAGTTGTTCCTTTAGATGAAAATTAGAATTTATAATCTGAACTATGTAAATATCCAACATTTATTAAGTAAGCCCCTTTTCTGTTTTCTATGCAACATCTCCATAGTAGACACAAACCCCTAAATTTAAGATCTACATAATTTATAATAGCCGCCCTCATTGATCAAACTGCTTGGCAATACTCCCCTTCCCTGAGTGTTGTAGAAACATTCACTTAGGTACTGACATCCACAAAGCTAATAAAACATATCAAATATAATATTAATATCAATTCTTTGGAAACTAGTTATTTATTTATTGGATTTAATGCATATTGGGTCTAAGTTCTAAAATAGAGTCTATCAGAAACAGAACAGGACTGAATTCTGTTTCCATAAAACACTGTGAAGTCCTCCTACTTTAAAGCATGGCTCTCACTGCTAGGGCTGCAGCCCACCTGTGCACCTAAGGGGAAGCTGGCAGTGGCTCTCTATTTAGGATGCTTTACTTCCTGCTAAGAAAACATTTTATTGGTTTCTGAGGGTCTTTAGCTAGTTAGGAAAGTTTCCTTTTGTCCCTGGAGTCTTTGGTTAATCATAAGTTAGAGAAGCCGTGAGACAGCACAGTTGTAAAAAAGCTTGGACTTTGATGCTAGTAAATATAGACGGGAATCAATGCTCTGCCCATTCCTAGCTTTGTGATCTGGAGTCAGGAACATCAATCTCTGCTGGGTTTGCTGTTCAGCAGTTACAGAAAGGAGTGTCCCTCTGCCCCAGGCACCATACTAACTGTGAGGTCTGCCTTTGCTCTTTGACTTGGATCCAGGAGGCCAGGGGTGAAATGGCAAATGAGCCTCTACAAAAGTGTTAAATGTGGGTAGACTGAAACCTGTCCCTGGGTCTCAAACTGTGAGAGAGAAAGCAGTGTTTGCTTTTATATGAAATCATTGACCAGGTCTCTGTAACTTAGGTGAGACATTATACAGAATTCATTTCAACAGCACCCTCATATTGATTTTCTTTCTATATGATTTCATTTATTTGTAGAATCAAAAAACAAAAACAAAAAATAAATGAATAAACAAGACAGAAACAGACTGAAGTATAGATAGAAAGAACAAGTTCATGGTTGCCAAAAGGGAGTGACATTATATGTTTTTTAAATTTCTTTATTGATTAATCCAGTGGTTCTCAACTTTTCTAATGCCGCGGCCCTTTAATACAGTTCCCCATATTGTGGTGACCCCCACAATATGACCCATAAAATTATTTTTGTTGCTACTTCATAACTGTAATTTTGCTACTGTTAATGAATCACAATGTAAATATCTGTGTTTTCCAATGGTCTTAGGTGACCCTGCTAGTGGTTCTCAACCTGTGGGTGGTGACCCACAGGTTGAGAACTGCTGCTGTACAGCCTAAGACCATCGGAAAACACAGATATTTACATTGTGATTCATTAACAGTAGCAACAAAAATATTTTTATGTTTGGGGGTCACCACAACACGAGGAACTGTATTAAAGGGTCGAGGCATTAGAAAGGTCGAGAACCACTGGATTAAGGTATTACATATGTGTCCTTATCCCCCGATTACTCCCCATCCCCTCACTTATGTCCTCATCCCTCTGGTGTCTGTGTCCATTAGTTAGGCTTATGTACATGCATACAAGTCCTTTGGTTGATCTCTCTCCTTTACCCTCACCCTCTGCTACCTTCCCTCTAAGGTTTGACAATATGATCAATGTTTCTCTGTCCCTAGATCTGTTTTTGCTCATCAGTTTATGTTGTTCATTATATTCCATAAATGAGTGAGATCATGTGATATTTATCTTTCTCTGACTGGCTTATTTCATTTAGCATAATGCTCTCCAGTTCCATCCATGCTGTTGTAAATTGTAAAAACTCCTTTTTTACTTCAGCATAGTGTTCTATTGTGTAGATGTACCACAGTTTTTTAATCCACGTACCTGCTGAGGGGCACTTGGGCTGTTTCCAAATCCTAGCTATGGTAAATTGTGCTGCTATGAACATAGGGGTGCATAGGTCCTTTCTGATTGGCATTTCTAATTTCTGGAGATATAGAAGTAGGATCACTGGACTTCCTATTGATTTTTTTCAAGTAAGAACCCACTCACTACCCATTCCCCCATACATCATTTCACATACTGATATTTTAAAATGTTTGGTGGTTAATTAATAGGGATTCCAAGACATTCAGAAGCTTTTGGAACCCCAGGAAATAAGCAGAAAAATACAATTCTGGCCCAAAGTTTGTGTTATCCCTTTTCAAAATCAACAAAGAGGGCGTGACAGAGGGGATATATTACTGATAACTCCGTGTCACCCTTCTGGGCCTTCCCACCATCTGTTGACTTTATAGAAATGCTATTTATAGCAGGACTTTTATACTTATGTGTCCAAACTGTCTTCTCTAGCTCCCTCTCCCTCTCACCTAAAGGTACATTATTGATATGCCATGACATAATTCTTTGTTCCTGGTGAACTCATTTCCAAACCCTCTATCTTGGTTGCATTAGCCTGCCTCAGTATTTAAAATCTGCCAATAGAGATTTGAAGTTATGGAACAAAGACTTATAATCGGCTCCGCATATAATAAAGGGTTTTTACCTATGTGTGCCTTTACATTAATAACGAACAACAAAGAAACAAATATTGGCTGTTTTCTAGATATGCTCCTTATATTTGTTCTCTGATGTTCTTACTCTCTGCCCGTTGTTGAATATGAATAATAGAATGTAGACGTAAGTACACTAAAGCTGAAATCTGATTAGTCTCTCAACATACCCAGAGAAATCCCCATGATGCTCATTTGATGAAAAGCACAACACAAATCAGGCCCACTATCGGAGAAAAGAGCAACTCTCATAAAAAGAATTCCAAACCCCAACCAGGGATCACATCTGCAACCCTGGTGCATCAGAGTGATTCTCCAACCAAGGGAGCCTCCCGGCTGGAGCAGACTTCCTTCCAACGTAATAAAGGGAATGGATACACGTGCTTGCTTCAGTCAGTTATCCAATGATTTCACTTTTGGTTGTTGCAAGTGCCAATCCTCAAACTCAGCAGCAGTTTTCACAGGCTATTCCTAAATTACTGATTATTCTCCAAATAGAGTCTATCTTACAGGAGCAATGGGGATCATTATAAAAGATATCTAAAACCCTTTCTTCTCTTACAGTTCTGTGCCAGCCTTCAGGGACTAGACTACAAGGACTCCACCAGTATGAGTGCTTCCATAAATAAATGTTCCAGGTCTGTATCTTTATTTTGTGACTTTTACATTTTCTTTATATAAATATTAATCCTTCTTTTCTTTTTCCCTTTAACTTGTTTTTAAATAGAATGTTTAAGTGGGCATAAGTAACAACATTTAGAGAGTGCAAAACTGTACTTGTTCCTTTAATTTGAAAAAGCATAAGCAGGTAAATGTACTGCTTTAATCCAATCTTCACAAAATTCTCTTTATTTATAACATATGCCTAAATTCTATAATCCCCAGTAAATCTGACTGATAACGTTTCACCCAAGTGAATGAAAATTGCACTAACCAAGGTTCTGAAGCTGTTTCAATAAAGCTCTGGATGAACGCTTAGCAGACATTGCCAAATATTTACACTCTACAGTTATTCATGGTATAAGAAGTACCATTCAATCAGTGGCATTTAATTTAACAATGTTTACCTGTGTGTAAGCCTCCGATGACTAATGCAGACTGCGGTCTGAGAATCTTGAGCAATGCATACTTTATGGCGACTACATTTCATCTTTAAGCATGGATCTTTAGCTGGATCTAAAGCTAGAGAGAGGGGTGGGGATGGAGAAATTTGTACAGACATTATTAAATTGAGCTTGTGCAAAACGGGGGGCTTGAACCCCATCAAACGCAGTTTGAACCAGGAGTTTAAATAGCATTTAGCTATAAATTGTCTTCACATCCTTCTTCTAGTAAGCAATACTTCTGCTTAAACACACATAACTCAGAGTGAATAGTTGCAATGTAGTCTCATCCATTATATTCAGAAATTAAATGCATATACCAGTACTCCTACAATCAATGTGTAATCAAACAGGAACTTGAACACCAAAACTTCTTCCAGTTGCTACTGCCTCCTAAGAAGTACAGATGGCGTAATAAAATTGGAGTTTGCTACTGTAACACTTCTGTCAGTTGAGAAATATATATATATATATATACTTCTCTTATCTAGATTCAGGTGGGTAGAGAAAATAGATGAGACCCAAGGAGATACCTATTAGTGGACATTAATGGGATTTTGGATGTCCAGAAAAGTCCACAGCTATACTTAGGGCACTGGCTGAGTGTCTCATGGTAAGAACTGAGATGTTGCATTTTCAATTTTTAAATTGTTTGTGCCTGACATTTGTACTGCCATTTATCCAGATAATACCTCTGTCTTGGTGGTTGCCAGCACAAAGACTGTGAGATATTTTAAATAACAGTTTTATTGAGAAATAATTCATATACTACACAAATAATTCTTATAATGTTCAAAATTCATTAGTTTTTAGTATTAATTAGTTATTAATAGTCACAATTGTGACTATTAATCATAATCAATCTAGAAAATTTTTACACCTAAAAAAATACCCAGACCTTGTAGTTATCATTCCATTTCCCCCAACTCCCTCCCAGTAACCAATACTAGGCACTCGCCAATCTAATTTCTGTCTCTATAGATTTGCCTATTCTTCACATTTCATATAAATGGAATCATACAAAATGTGGTCTCCTGTGACTGCCTTCCTTTATTTGGAACAATGTTCTCTTTCAAGGTCTAGCCATGTTGTAGCATGCATCAACATGCTACATTCTTTTATGTTGCTGAATAACATTCCATTGTAAAATATGCCACATTTTGTTAAGTCATTTATTAATTGATGGGAATTTTGATTATTCCTTTAGGTTATTATAAGTAACTAGAGGCCTGGTGCATGAAATTCATACACAGGAAGGGCCCGTCGGCCTGGCTGGTGATCAGGGCTAATAGGGGCTTTCCAGCTGCTGGCCAGGGCCTTCCTTCATTCTGGGCCACCTCCTGGGGGTCAGCACATGTCATAGGGAGCAACTGAACTCCTGGTCTCTGGGTCAAACTCATGAGGAGACACTTTGCATATTAGCCTTTTATATATATAGATGCTGCTATTGGGAGTCACTATTCATGATGGTTATTGATATTTTGTTGTCATTTGGGGAGGGGCAGAAAGTCAGAGAGGGGTTGGCACAAATAAGAAAATGACACTGAGCATCTAGTTTGGGCACATGTCCAAACTGAGAAAAAAAATCCATGATAGATGGCAAACTAAAAAGGAAGTTCTAGAACATGTAGAAAAATGTAGGTGGAGTGACTAGAAAAATGTCCATTGGGAATATAAAGAAGGATTTGTGGGAGCTCTGGGCTTTCAATAGACATGAAATGTGGATTTTAGCCAGTCTTCTTTAGATTGTAAACCTGGAGTAAACCAGAACTAACATGCAAGGTACAAATAAAATTTAGCTTTAAAATGTGTTAAATTTTAAGCACATTTATTCACTACACTAAGAACAGTGAGTATACTTTAATGACCAATGAATTCGATAAAACACATATATAGACTATAGACAAATGAATATATATTATTTCTGTAAAAATACAAAGTATATATTTCTTAAAAATTCTTATTTGAGATTTCACGTAAGTATGAGATGTAAAATAAAGAACACTAACATATATTTTAAAATGTTAAATAATACATATTTAACATTTTAAATTTGCACCTACCACTGTACCTTATATTCATATCATAACACTCATCATGAATATAGATAACTAAGATATATAAATATATAATAAGGTAAAAATAGTCAATATATTAAATACACCTATTTGAAACACAAATGTTTCAATTTCCAATTTTTTACAAATAATTATCATATCAATTATAGATTCTCTTAATTTCTCAGTAGCTCTAACGTTTAAGAAAAGCTACATTAGTTATTTTATTCTCTATAAAATGTTGAAAATACTTTGTTCACTATGCAAATGCAAATTGCTAAAACCCTCTCATACTATCATAGTTTCAACTGTCACTAATTTAAAAACTTTCTCATAGAACTATTGTATCTTAGAGCTGTACAACATAAAAGAAAAAATCAATAATTTAGATTGCATTAAAATGTTTTGAGCTTTTTCTACTTCTTAGTCTATTTTAATTTTAATTATTAAATAATATTTAATATGATTATAATTATACAATTCTGCCTAATAATTAAACAATGTCATTGCACCTACCACTGTACCTTATATTCATGTCATAACAATCATCATGAATATAGTTAACTAAGATATATTACTCTGAAATAAGTTTTTATTGTGAGATAAGACACTATAGTACATATAAAACTATCATGGTTAATCTAATATATTTACTCTTAATTGTAAAATATTAATAGTTAATTATTTCTTCCAGTTTTCTTTATCTATACACACTACAATAATTTACAAAAGTTCCATAACTTTTCATACTATATCCACTTAAAAAAAGATCTCAAAAATAGGTATATAAAGAGGATATTATCAGAACAAAGATATCACATGAAAATTAATTAAATTTTGCATAAAATTCCCCATAAATGATAACATAGAACAGTAGCAGTACTTGTCAAGAGATGGAAAATAGAGTAAAAGTAAACAAGAAGAATCAAACACAGGGTCTGCAGTAAGGAAAAGCTCACTTTCTGTGCATGTGGTTTGAACCATCTGTATTTTTCAGCAGAACTCACATTGCTGGCAGCTTAAGAACTATAAAACATCACACGCTGTAAATACAGATGCCTAAGATTTTATTCTTGAAGTCACAACAATAACAGAAGCATCTTTCTCTTGGCTGAAGCCCATGGATTAGAATAAATTCTGTATCTTAGAGAGCCTGACATAAATTCATCCTCCTCTTTCCATCTTTTTCAAATTAACAGTTCCCATTCTACCCTGTATTATTGAATTTGTTTCAAGCATACAGTACAACTACACCTAGAAAGAGTTCTGCTATAGCATTTAAATTCATTTGGCCATCTTCTTGTCTTCACCCATATCTTTCAACATCTTCCTGACTGATGTGAACTACTTGGGGACCTGATACTGTTTTGTTGTTGCTTGTTTTGTTTTCAAACAATTGACTTATAATTTTAACCTTTGTGGTGCATTTGTGATATAGACTTTTCCTCATTCTTTCACCAGAATACTTGTTATCTCATACAGAATTCCTCACTTCCTGCAGCCCACAACTAAATAGGAAGTGCCCAGCCATATCTAGCTGCTAATGGTGGAAGTACCTGAGTCAGCAGGTGTGCAATAGGAGATGAATGTGAAAATGTGCCTGTCGCTAAGAAGATATCTAATTCTTGAAGAGAAGTCCCAATGTTAGGGAAACTGAAAAGTAAGGACACAATGTAGATGACAGGTCACGAAAATAAACCTGGACAGTGAAAAGTGCTGAATTCTCACTAGAACAGAGGAACCTTCATTAGTATTCATATTTAGTGCAGGTGGATTTGAAGAAAAGGCAAAAAGTGGCATCACTAAGTTGCAAAACTAGATATTATTGTTAGAAACAAGAACTGAAATAAGCTTTAACAGGAAAGATTGAAACTTCTATTCTGCACAAATGCACAAATTTTATGTGTTTTTTTCCACAGGAATCCTAGATTTTAGAAGAATCATTAAATCCTAATGATTGTAGGCTACAGGAATCTTAAATCACATTGTAAGTTATTTTTAATGGAGCTAATTATGAACCAGTTACCTTAGCTCAGCCAGTGCAAGAGAATTTATTAGATACTTGACTAGTAAAATAGAAATTAAATAGGCAATTAGAATAAATTAAGTGGAAATCGTGTGTGTGTACATCCCATCTGATAAAAGAGTAATATGCAAATAACCATCACTCTGCTACACCCACAAGCCATGCCCACCAGCCAATCAGGAGCGAGTTTGCAAATTAGCCCAACCAAGATGGCTGCAGCCAGGAAGAGAGCAGAAGGCTTGGGTTTCCCCAGTAATGGAGGAAGCCAAGCTTTCTGCACACCCTGGTGGGCCCAGACTTCCACTCAAGGTTACAAAGTTTCAATTATAGAAGATAAATAAATCAACAAAAATGGCTGTGGCCACAGAGCAAGCAGGAGTCTTGGCTCCGCTCCAGGTCACAAAGTTTCAATTATAGAAGATAAATAAGTCTCAGATAGCAGGGCCTCCACTTGGCTCACTGGGGTGCGTGGCCAGCCTGCAAACCAGCACAGGCCCCTTGACCAGGCTGCCCCATGCCCCAAGGGGACCCCCACCCTGATTCAGAACACCCTTCAGGGCAAACCAGCTGGCCCTCACATGTGCACAGGGCCTCTATCCTATCTAATGAAAGAGTAATATGCAAATTTGCCATCACTCCAACACATAAGATGGCTATTCCCATGTGGTCAAAGATGGCTGCCCCCATGTAGACACAAGATGGCCAGCAGGGGAGGACAGGCCTGCAAGGGAGGGACCAGGCCTGCAAGGGAGGGGAGTTGGGGGCAATCAAGCCTGCAGGGGAGGGCAGTTAGGGGCAAACAGGCTGGCAGGGGAGCAGTTAGGCATCAATCAGGTTCGCAGGGGAGTGGTTAAGGGGTGATTAGGCTGGTAGTCAGAAGCAGTTAGGGATAATCAGGAAGGCAGGCAAGTGAGCAATCAGGAGCCAGCAGTCCTTGATGGGTCCCAGATTGGAGAAGGTGCAGGCTGGGCTAAGGGATACCTTCCCTCCCCTCCC